AAAAACCTTAAAAATCGCAACACAAAAAAATAACAAAAAAACGAACCTTGTTTCGCCGGAGAAGAGAGCTGCAATTGAAAGGTTCGAAAAAAAATTGTGCTTCGAACCTTGTTTCGCCGCAGAAGAGAGCGACAGAAGGGAGAGGTGAAAAAAATTGAAATCTGCTAAAAATCGAAGCAGTCGGTGAAAAGAATTGAAATAAGGGAAAAGGTGTAAAAATTGAAAAAGGTGAAAGAAGGGCAATTTGGTCTTTTTAAGACCTAAAATGTCTATATGTCATCATTTTAAAAAAGATGGCTATATTTATTTTTTGTTTAGTTAAATGCTATAAAGGACTATTACCACGAAAAAAAAGTACTTTGAAACCCATTTTTCATAAAAAAAGAATTGTAATGATTTTTCGTTTTGGGTGAATAGTGTTGTTGACCAAAAGATAATTCACTAAGATTGTTGATCCAACCGTCTTGTCTCGATTGACTAAGAGTTTTGAACATCTCGACCGCCTTAACCTTCAAGAACCGAATTATCGACTTGCAAACTGCCAGGGCGTGGCTCCGGCTAGACACTCTGACGCTTAAGTCAGAAAACCGTTGTCTATTTAATCATGTATGATGAGTAATTTTAATAGTTTCAGGTACATAAATCCTGAATCCCTTATTATAAGAAGCTTAATGACTTACTACTAAAGACAAGGAGTTTTCTTCTTATTTGAGGATTCCGATCATTCTTAATAAGGATGTGGGTATACATCATCTTACTTCCATCCTTATTAGTAGTCTTTCCTAAATATTTATAGGTCTTTAACCAATACCATATATCTTTTTAAACTGCATAAGCGGGCCTTATCTTTGCTGGACCAGCCGAACCCGAGCCCACGGCTCAAGCCGGTCCACTATAAAATAAAAATATTTTTTAACCTTTCATAAAATATTAACTAATCTTTTTATAACAGGAAAAACTCAATTGAGTTTAATTGTTATCACTATATTTTACTTCAATTTTAAAAATTCTCAAATTATATAGGATCAAAGTTTACATAAAATATATTAATAAGCAAATCTAATGTTATAATTTGGTTCTTGATTTCAATTCTTTGGTTCGAAATGGTATGGGACAGTTCGGTTGGATTTTCGATACAGATATTGGTGAAATTTCTAAAACCGTACCACTACTTTTTTCAGTTCGGTTTGGTCCGGAGAAAGATAAATGATCAACGATTATATTTCGGTTCGAATTGATTTCGGTTTGATTTTTGGAACGGTTCAAAATTCTGAGTCAAATGCTTAGTCCTATCTACAATTAAATTTTTCCTATTGCAATAATGTTGACTATGCATCTTTATTATAAATTGGATATTGGGTTGACAACTGAAGAGACAACATAAACTTTTTCATAATAATTTTTAACTTAAACTTTTATATAATAATTTTTTAAAGATCGAGTAGGGTAGATTCCGTGCACTTTTTTATAAACCCATTTTTCATAAAAATAAATTGTAATGATTTGACGTTTTGAGTAAGTAGTGTGATTGACCAAAAGATAATTCATTAAGATTGTTGAGTCCAACTGTCTCGTCTCGATTAAATAAGAGTTTTGAACATCTCGACCGCCTTAACCTTCAAGAGTCGGATCGACCTGCAAACTGCCGGAGCGTGGCTCCGGGGTAGACACTCTGACGCTTAAGTCAGAAATCCATCATCTATTTAATCATGTATGATGAGTAATTTTAAGAGCTTAGGGTAAATAAATCTTGAATCCCCTATTTATAAGAAGCTTAACTTACTACTGAAGACAAGGAGTTTCCTTCTTATCTTAGGATTCTGATCATTCTTAAAAAGGTTGTGGATATACATCATCTTATTTCCATCCCTTTTAGTAGCCTTTCCTAATTATTTATAGGTATTTAACCAATATTATATATCTTTTTAAACCTCATAAGCGGGCTTTGTCTTTGCTGGACCAGCCAAACCCGAGCTCACGGCTCAAGCCGGTCCACCTGAAAATTTAAAGTCAAACAAAATATAATATAGTTTTTTCTTACAAAAATATTTTTTTAACCTTTCATAACATTTTAACTAATCTTTTTATAACATGAAAAATTCAATTGTAAATAAAATCCTACTAAGAAGTGAAGTTTAATTGTTATCACTATATTTTATTTGCATTTCAAAAATTCTCAAATTTTATAGGATCAAAGTTCACATAAAATATATTAACAACACACATCTAATGTTATAATTCGGTTCTTGATTTCGGTTCTTTGGTACTAAACGGTATGTGTCAGTTTGGTTGGGTTCTCAGTACGGATATTTGTGATATCTCTAGAAGCGTACCAATTATTTCTCCGGTCGGTTCGGTACGGAGAA